GTACTTCATAAACGTCACATACAAATTATAACTCCGCTAGTTGAACCTTCGGGGCATCTGAAGGGAAGCAGGGTATGTAGTGGACAGCTAGGACGCAGCTGGACGATCTGGACTTCGCAGATGACCTGGCTCTTCTATCACACTAGCAACAACAAATGCAAGATAAGACGGCCAATGTAGCAACAGCCTCTGCAGCAGTAGGTCTCAACATACATAAAGGAAAAAGCGAAATTCTCCGATGCAACACAACATGCATCAACCAAATCACTCTCCATGGAGATGCCTTGGAGGACGTTAACACCTTAACATATCTGTGAAGTATCATTGATAACCAAGGTGGATCCGATGCAGACGCGGATTGGCAAAGCATGGGCTGCATTTCTATAGTTGAAAAATATCTGGAACTCCAAACAACTTTCAACCAAAACCAAAATCAGGATTTTCAATACAAATGTCAAGGCAGTTCTACTGTATGGAGCGGAAACTTGTATCAAAGCCAAAATCACGAAGATAAAAGTGTTTGTTAACAGTTGTCTACGCAAAATCCTTCGGATTCGTTGGCCAGACACCAGCAACATCAACGAACTGTGGGAGAGAACAAACCAGATTCCAGTAGAGTAGGAAATCATTAAGAAGTGGTGGAAGTGTATAGGACACACATTAGGAAAAGCTCCTAGCTGCGTCACATGACAAGCCCTCACATGGAACCCCCAAGGCAAAAGGAAAAGAGGAATGGCAAGGAACACATTACGCCTAGAAATAGAGAAAGATATGAGAGGAATGAACAGGAATTGGACAGAATTGGAAAGGGAAGCCCAGGACAGAGTTGGCTGGAGGAAACTGGTGGGCGACCTATGCTCCATTGGAGGTAAGAGGCGTAAGCAAGTAAGTAAGTACATAGAGATTATCAATTCCCTTGAAAATACTTTGGTTTAATAATTCATTTTGATCAATATTATGACACATTGAAACTTACTTGGAATTGAACTGATTTACTTATTGGATTCAATGGCGTTTTCACAGTTACATTATTTTTAGTACCTGTTTGATTAACTACACTGATTGATCTTATTTGTGGACTGAGATATAGAATTATCGATTGCCTCTCACATTCCAATCCTGTATCATTCATCATTTGGACTACAATTTGAAGATAAACTTGATCTCTGAGTAATAAAATTAAACAAAAACAGGTTAATATATACAATTTTACTTTACATAATTAGAAACTTAACTAAACCGAGTGACTCAACTTGGTGAACTGCACTTGAAATTAGGATTTCATCATTAACTACACACACTCAAGAAATCAATTAATATTCTTTCTAGTACCAGATATGTCTTACACAACCATTTTGTCTTGGATGAACGACTGTTTATCAAATGTTAAAAGGTTGATATTCAGAGGTAGTGTTCTGATGAATTGTAATCAGGAGTCACATTTTATGAATCACATTCGAAGCATATTTGACAAATGGTCCAGACGAAATTCGTTTCTCTGATAGTGAGAATACAGGAACTGGACGATTCGTTTTTTGAGAAAAAAAATGAGAAAATTGCTAAATCGTTCAATAATACTTCTTCTTAAGAAATGCACACGGAATCGCATTTAGGTTCTTCATAATTCCAGCGAGTGTACTGAAATCATGAACCAACCTAAACTAGACCGCTGTTGAAAACCCGAAGACAGTGAATAGCGTATTCATTCTGGTACGAGACTCCTCATTAGTACACATCTATTAACCGAGTGAAAGTATTTTAACCAAATAACTTTGCTCTGCCACATGAATAATTAACCTCCAGACCACACTGACAATATTCCATAGTGTTAAGTTCTAACATCAATCAATCCCAGATTTTAGGCGACCATTTTCCATTGTCTTCTGGCTTAGAGGTAAGCCAACTATTGAAAAGTATAAGTGTAAAATAGTTTCCAAGTGCGTGTTTTGAACATACCTATCAGGACAGTCAGTGAGAGTGAATAATGACAACTGTGATGGTATAACATTGATTGATGGTTTTTCCAAAGCATTTCTAAGACAAGTAATAAATAGTTTAGTAAGATTTGTCACAGTAATAAATTGACCTGTGAATTGTATTGGCCAAATAGTTCCATTTTCTACAGTTTTACTATCACTCAATTGAATTTCCACTGAAAGACTAAGCGTGTTACGCATTAGCGGTACACTTGACGTACCTGTAAAATAAAAACAAACTTGAATGAAATGAAAAGTCAAAAAATGTCTTTCACCTGTTTTGAATTTATACCTAGTTTTTAGTGATCACAATGGTTGTACGTCTTTAAACAAACAATATATTTCACTGATATGATGAATCGAATACTGTACAATCACAATAATTGTAGTGCCTCCACATATATTTCAGTTTTCTCACATCTGACTTGGTTAAGCCCTTTCGATTACATATATTTCAGTTCTCTCACATCTAACTTGGTTAAGCCCTTTCGATTAATTTATTTAACCAAGCCATTTGTAAAACAATAACTTATATGTACCATTGGCTTTTATTATTGTGTGGTTTGTATGCGCTGGTATGATTGAACATTGTTTACACTTGCGCGCATATTCATACTTTTAGCTTTAATGTTAATCTCGTAATATTCCCATGAACTCACATGATTTGTATCGCTTGCTTTTGACCTTGTCAATCATTCGTCGCTTTTATTCATGTGTGTGCATGCCTATTTCGCTTGTCATATGTCTGTCTTATTTTTATCTGACTATATATTCTTAGTCATACTCTATCTCAAAGAGTTGGCTCAACAGCCTTCTCCAATTCGCTTCGTCCACTCGCTCGCATTGTAATCCAAAGAGTTGGCTCACTAGCCTTCTCCAATTCGCTCCGCTCATTCGCTTGCATTGTAATCCAAAGAGTTGGCTCTTAGCCTTCTCCAATTCGCTTCTCTGCTATCCTTATTGTGGTGTGCTACAATAAACGTATACGATACTTGGAGTTCATCTTCTGATTTATAAACCGAGCTTAAGAACACGCAGTTATAGGCACACTTACATCATAAACGTTTAAGCACTAAACGTGCGCTCGTCTTAGTGAAATAGTATGCATCCATGACAGGTGCACGAGAGAAGGAAACTTACGACATTTGGTTTCGCTCTCAAATGCGTAACTTCGAAACTACTGAGCAGACATCCAATTATATGATTTTTGCGAACTTCAATCGATCCACGATGCTGCGCAACCCCACGCATTGCTTCTCAGTTGAACGCTTACAAAACTAGTTAAGATTTTATTAACATCAGTGGTTGCCACAGCACATTTCTAGATGACACTGAGACAACTTGGATTAAACCACTTTAATCTTTTTTAAGTCACAGCTCATGAAACCTTTTTTATACGCACCTGAATAGATTGTGCAATTAACAGAATTTGTCGACATGTGAAAACACAAACAGACATCGATTAATAGTTGAAATATTTTGATGTTAGGAAGAAACAGAATGCTCAGGCATAAAACAAGTGATGACATCACAAACAAATGCATAGTTATTATGTCATACATTGTATTGAATGAGAGTAGAATATTTTTGAAATTCAACTTACCAATATTACGAATATTTTTAAAGTAAATGATCAATTGATCCATTCGGTTAGTTTGGTAAATTGATGAATAATTAAATGAGTAATCCTTAGTTATTGATGCTAAATTACTACCAAAACTTATATTGAAATTAATGATACTGATAATGGATTCATTGCTACTGCTATTGACATCAGTTCCAATAATTTTAATGGAAGAATTGGAATAGCTCGAATTCAATGGGAATATATAATCAATAGACATGATTCTCCTTTCACCTGGTTGCATTGCTACATTATTCGATTTGGATTGAACTATTATCTGAATGGGTTAATAATAACGATAATAACAATTTAAAGTATCATTTTAACAAAGAATGGTTTCTAACTATTCATGTGGTCAAGGTGTGATCTTTGAAATACATTCTCAAGTGTTTGATTATTTAGATACTTAAACTTCACCTGTAGCTCCTCAATGTTTACTACCGATCCGAAGCCCACAGAAAGGAGGAAGATTCGGCATGATGTTGGCTGCCACAACGGGTAGAAAACCAACTCTACAAAATAAACTCTTATCAAAAAACCTAATTAAAAATTAAGTTATTCGATATTAGCTCTTTTCTCAATTGTAAATTTGATTGAATAGATGATATTCTGATAGTTTCATATTCATTATTAGCTCAGTTCATTAGACAACAGCACTAACAAGAGAAATCAATCGGTTAAGGAAGATCTTTTGCATTGCGTCTGTTGATACTTCAGATTCCAATGTTTAGTCAATTTTCTATGATAAATTTTCTAATGTAATGCGTACATTTATAATTGCGAATTGATTTCAACTGGTTGTTAGTTATTTTCGATATATTTTTAAAAACGATCATATTGAATACTTTTTTCCTTAGAAATTTACTTCATAATTTTGTTGAAAAATATCAATAACGAACAAGAAAATCATTCAGTTAATAACAAGAATGAAGCTGTTTAAAAAAAATGAAATCGATCTCTTTATCTGTCACTTCTGGTTACCTAATGGGTTCATTTATCAGTTAACTTAACCAGAGGATGAGACAAGTGGTATTGACTGTACAAAGCATGTACAATTTTGAAGCAAATATCATAGCAGTGACCTGACATAGTGCTATAACAATCGATAACTCATGCAACCCTTGAACATATGGTCAACTCGGGTCACCTGTCACCGAAACTAGTTTTTATTAGAAATTTATGCACAACTGAAGCTGCAGCCATTCATCTGTTCAAAGCAGACCTCTTAATCTAAACGAATCATGTGAAATCACTAACAGTTTCATGGTCATTATACTGATTCTAATGTAATGATCTCATTTTCACTTATTCCCTTACAAAGTAGACAGTTGCTTTTATTTGACATACTTTATGAAAAATTTATTCCGTGACTTAATTTGTTGATAATTTTTGATTATATTACTAAATAACCTAAAACAATACTGATATTATTAATTAATGAAAACAATTCTAATCATTTCGACATTCAATAATTTTGATGGTTTTCAATTGTTTTAATTCAACAATGCGAAAATCACTATATTTAACGTAGGTGTACCACTCTTGATCGTTGAGAATTTTCTTCATTACAAAAACGTTTGTGATAAACTAAACATTAACCTACCTATAAATACGATTGTACAACTCAAGTAAATGTAATGGTCGAAGGTGAGTTTGACAATTATCCAAATGAATTCAGTCAACAAAAATAATGAATGAGATTAGTGAGAAAACAAATAAGAATAATATTTTTGGAGTAATTCTACCAAAGCTTACTTGTGTATATTTCGGAAAGCTTGGTGTTACAATGAATGTCATCGTACGGACAGAAAAGTTTCTTGCAATCCCGCTGATGTTAAAAACCATTGGAAAATTATAAATAATCACTGAAGTCACATTGCACTCTCCCATTAGGTAGACAGTATATATTAAATGTGTCTACAAAAGTTCAAAAATATTTAGAATGTCGATTACAGAAGGAAACAATATGAGACAGAAAATAGAGTCTTGAGTTATTATAATAGACAGAAAGTCATTGGAAATGGACAAGCACTGATCACCACTTTATTTCTAGTATGAAACTCTTCACTAGTCTAAATCCATGGCACTACATGAGTATTGAACGAAAGTCTCTAGGGTCTTGTCATCAGCAGTTAAACTCTAAATCCCTGAAACGAAATTCAGAGGTTTGCATACTTTGATTCAATCACTTGGTAATAATGCATGAACACCTGATCACGAAAAGATCTGATCTTTGATACGCTTATGAATATAAACTTCAGAGGAGCGCCATACTTGATTCAAACAACCATTCATTGCTTTGTGATTTTCGATTGTGTGCGATATAAACCATGAACAATAAGTAATTTTGACTTATTTTTAATGCTAACAATTGTGTTATTATCAGCATAGAATCGCGACGTTTTTTGAGTATCATTGAAATGATGAATCTATGATGAAAATCACAAAAATACGCTCACTAATGACTAGTGTCGATAGGAATTTCTGATGAGAAGTCTTGACCAGTGGAATTCAACCTTGTCAGGTGTAGACAGTTACACAGAAAAAAATCGACATTGCTGATTATTGCAAGCTGATTGAAGTTAGATATTAACACTGTTGAGTTTCGACTAAATGGTCTAGACGTTAAACGTTCGCTAACAAGGCCGAAAGTTTTGGGCTCGATTTATACCAGTAGTGGTAACTGTGGATGCACTATTCTAATGAGTCGCATACTCGAACGGAACAGCCGCTCAATGCTCCTACGTTTCTAACATTAATCGGTTCATTATTTCAATAATAATTATATGACACAATCAAACATATTGGTTGTTAATCTATTCACAGAAAAATATAACGATATCGCTTTACTGAATACTTTAGTATATTGTTGACTTACGCAAGTAGCATCTACATTTAAGGTACATAATGGACCATAATCCACTCGTATGTAACTGAAAGTAAATAAACCAATAAAGGAAAAAATATGAATTTCGTATTTTCTAATTTAATTCTGTCAAAATTGAAAGAGAATATTCAGCAAATATTCTGTGAACCTGCCAAGATGAAAATTTTACTCATGTAAGAAAAATGTCAATGAATATGAAATGTTAAAATAATAATTTTCTCTATGAAGGATATTTTAGAAGGTGATAGATACAATAAAGACAAACATTTTCCTGTCTGTCTCCGATTCTCGGCGCAATATATTCATTGGCCTAATTCTGGTTTACCTCTGACCAAGAGGATCACATGTTAGAGCACGCCTCGCGAAGTAGTTGCGTGCTTTTCTCAATGCATTTCAATCCACTTCCAAAGCCTCTTCCTAATTTCTTACTCATCTCGAATCTAGTTTGTTCTATGCCTCAGTAGGCTGCTGCTGATGGTTTCTGGTCGACTCATCCTCGGCATCCTCCGTAGTCTACTGTTAATAAATGTCCGTATCTTTCGGATAATGTGTTTCATGTTTCTCTGAGTTTCCGATCCATACAATAGAACTGTCTTAACATTTGTATTGAATATTTACGCATCTCATTACATAGTTAATGAAACTAGTGTACACTTTGCAGAATTCTAAGTATTTCTCCAAAGATTTGTTTGAGTTAATGGATTATTTATTAGTTCACAAGAGTCACTGTAATCGAAAGAATGAGCTCCGTGCTCCACCGGGTACGTAAACAGGTCAATAGTTACATCACATCTTACTGTGTAGACTAATTTAAATCGACCAGGATACATTCTACTAGGAAGAAGTGCTGGTGATTTGTAAGTTACAGTGATGTGAAGGTCTTCGTCAGCAAGTCAGTCATGGGGTGAAGAAGAATCGACTAGACCAAACGGCCTTCTTTGTAACTGGTTTTAACTTAAAATGCATTTGTAAGTTGCTATCTATGCATAGTTATGTAGTATAGTCCCTCGAAATAATCTCACTTGAAGGTAGCAATATCAAGTACTCCATAATATCGAGCATTTTCTCACAACCAAGATAACCGAAAAAATGACTGGTTCCATTCAACCGACTAATGAACATTAGCATGCAGTTTCAAGTATTTGGTCAGTACATGATCGATGCTTACGGAATCCAGTCTGTCGCCCTTGAAGATTGGTTTCTCCTGATCCCCTCGTATGGCTCAACAACACTGCTGAAAACTTTGAGCTATTCTCTAGGTTCTGTGGGTTTTTCCGGCATCCTGAAATGGGTATTTATTAAAGTGAAGAGGTTCAATTGTCCAAATGTCTAACGCTGACCAGCTACATGAGTGAAAATTAAGCATTCATTGGTTAACCGGTATGAATGTATGCATGATGGTATGCATGTATACCAATTCATAAATCTTTAGTGGTGACCGACTGACCATGACTGACTATGATTAACTCCAAATACTAGTTACTAATCACTAGTCTGTCACCGTTATAAAAACAAAACCCAGGGTATATATTTGATGAGAAAGTGGACAATGTAACGAGCAGCAAGTTATGAATGATGACAGCAACGCAATGACAGAAAGGTGCTAGTAAGTAAGTGTTTTTAGTACAGTTAAACAAACAGAGTACAATGAATAATGTTTCCTTTTCACAGCTTTTGTTTTCCTCGTAGAAGTGTTCCACTACATATCTTTTAAAAACCAAGCTACCACTGTGTCTCATTGGTTAGAAGTAGGAGCCATTTCTCTACCAACCATATGCACTTACCGTTTAGCCGATTTCTGAATAGCTCAATAGTGAACTAATATCCATCCGTATTTATGTATGTTGCGTTACCTTTACTTATCAAACGAGCAGACTATTTTAAATTGCAAAACATTAACAGAAAATAAGAAAATTTAACTCATATCATACTTTTGTACATCAGTTATATTCAAGGTGAATGTAGGCGGTAACCACAAATCCGAATCAATGAATTTAACGATTGCTTTTGTTATCTTCAGAGATACGGTGTTGTTTATCACTCGACTAATCCAGTTCGTGTAGAAAGAACAACGTGTTTCAGAGGTACATATCCTTAATAACACTTCAACTGGTGTTCCAGAACACATATAAGTATATACATCTCTAGGTAATGGATTAGCTAAAGTAGTCATTCCAGAAAGACCAGCTGTTAATACCTGGATTTGAAAAACAAATGTACAAACTCCGACATATTTCAAGTAATTTGAAAGTGAATTTGAAAACCTCCAAGACTAAAGAGATATGATT